TGGGGATACAGATGTGTGTTAAGCAATGTGAATCTTACAAAGGAGGGTGCAAATCTGTCAACTTTAACAGGGATCATCTAGTCTGTGAATTAAACACTTACAGTGCCACAGACAAACCGGACAACATGACCCAGGACTCGTCCAGTATTTACGTTCAGGTTAATCTGACGGAGGTGGGTACATGTTTGATTAATTGATAATATTTATTCATGTGTTATAGTGCTCTTTGATAACCATTTAATTCAAATACACTGTGTATGTATCTTTTATATTTGTATGTTTTCTTAAATATAAGGGAAGTTGACTAGTTCTCACCAAAGAGCATTGTTTCTCATTATTTTAATTGTATTTTCGAGGAACTGGTATTTAATTCTACAAGTGAGTATCCAATTTAACTATATCTCCCTTTCTAAGGACGTAATTCTTGAAAATGATCTCTCGTTTTTGAATATTACTAATATTCCCAACAACCAAAAATAATTCAAATCAAATTGTATACCATATTCATATTGCATTCTTTATAAAATCCTTACAAAGATACATGGAGGGTTCCAGTAAATGGCCTACCAAGTCTCTTTCTTTATTTCTCTTAAGGAGGCTGGGGGGTCAACAAATTAATCACAAATTAACCACCAGATTTAACTTATTTTTTTTTAGATATGGTATCTTAAGCTGTCAACTATCATTTGGCAAAGAAAAAATTCATACATTTTAGTATTAAAATTTGATCATTTTTGTATATCTTTATATGGAGCTCTTCTTTTAAAGGAGATTGAAATAGTATGAAAATGGCTGCCACCCCCCCCCCAGCCTCTTTAAAAATATTAATTGCAGTTAAGGAAAAACTTCAGGCGTACTTTGTAACAATATATTCGAGAAGGGATGTAAATGAAATGTGTAAACTCCAAGGATATTTAGGAAATTCAAAATCACACTATTTATTGAAATCCATAACATCTAAATTAACAAATGACTTTTCAAAACTTTGTGCAATAATCATCACTAAAAGTTAAAGTCCAGGCTTTTTGATATCATAGTCAGCTGCTTTTCTATAAATTTGGAACTCGAGTATTTTCTTACCTTGTCCTTGGTCATTTGCTAAATTCCTTTTTAAAAACTTAAAGAAATATTTCGATTGTACCCACAAGTACTTTGAAGTTGATATTACAACAGGTCAAAGTTTCTGGCTGACAATATCTATGTGGTTTTTGGAGACCAAGTCTTCCAACAATTTGTTGGAACGTCCATGGGTACCTATTCCTTACTCATATTGTTTATCCCTCAATCATTTTTAAATATGCATGTCTAATAATGTGAAACATAATCAAAGTCTTCAAAAAATAGTTTAGTTTTGATGGATAATCCTGGCAATTTATGCATATATGCCCTCTGGGTTTTTTTTTTTTAAGTTTATTCACGATATTTTATTTTTAAGTTTAAAACTGTACTTTGTTGAATTTTAAAGCAATACTGAACAATATGAATCTTTACTCACTTTTTGATGCTATTGTTATCTCTATCCGTGAATTTTTTTTAGCAGAGATGTATAATATATACATGTAGTTAAAAAAGACTTCGTTTTTCTTATGTTTATTTCTAAAATATATACTTTCAATCTGCTTTAATCGATTTCGTGCAATCATTAATAATTCTCATTTTTTAAACAGATAACGAAATGATACTGGCAGGCGCGTCGCCCAGTATAAAAAGGCGTCACTCCTTTGAGTCTATAACGGACACAGACTCAAGGAGTTCATTCGGTGCCCCTCGGATAATCCTTAGGGATATTAAACATATGTCATTTGTAAATTCATCAGATTCCCAGTTTTGGTATAAAACCAATTCATCATACCAAAAAATTGAAAGAATTTAAGGTTTCTATTACAGATATACAGCTCAACAAACTTTTTAAACTCACATGGTTTTTTGCGCAAATTAAGGTCACATTGTTATAATGCAAAAATTTTGTAATGTGACGACAAAATATATTTTAAAAATGATTTATAACTTAATTTTGATCATATCCCATTACTTTAAACATAATTCACACATAATAATTGGTAGGATTTTTATATGCTCTTGGATGATATAATCTGAGAGTTTCCAATTTTTTTTTCATTGTTTCTCGTCAAATGCAAACGTCTTTTTATCCGTTCATTTGAAAGCAAACTTTTGCCTTGCCTTAATACAGAAACAGTCCAATTGATGTTACTTCTGTATTTTTTGAACATTAATATAACACTGAGGCGCAAGATAATAGAAGTATTTATCATCTGTTCGATTGCTTTCAATGTTAAAAAGATGGCATTTTTTCAGGTTAACTTCCCTAAAATCTAGCATCATGAAAGACACCTTCCAACGCAAAATTTCAAAGTGTCAGACCATACATGTTAAAAAAAAATTTCTTTTCGATATTTACAAGTAACTTTGTTGAATAAACAATACTTTATTATCCTATCCTTTAACAAGATTTCTTTATGCTGTTTTGTCATTTTTCGGCTCCAAATTTCGACAAAACCAAGACAAGTATGGAAAATGTGCAAAGTACCTCGAAAAATAATAATCTTTAAGAAGTAAATTTGAACATTTTAACCAAATAGTATCAAAGAAAGTTCCATTAATTAATTTATAAAACCTATGATAGAATCATACACATTTAACATCATACAATTTATAAACAAATTTCCTTTTAGAACATTGACTTTTAAAACTTAAGATACTGATTTCAGAGAATGTGCACCTTTAACATGAAACAATTTAATACTATAAGGATTATGTCTCATATTGAAACTCGATAATTTTGAGCTTTATTGCAAGAAAAATGTGACCTTGATTTGTGCGAAAAACCATGTGAGTTTAAAAAGTGCATTGAGCTGTACATGTATCTAATAATTCATTTTCCGATCCCATGTTTTCTGTTTCAAAATGTTCTGTGAAAAACTGTAAAAACTGTGACATTTTGATAACTAACACTTCTTTCACCAGTAATCTTACTGGATAGGGCTTCTATACCAAAACTTTGGAAAATCTGAACTGCAAATCTACTAATGTTGTCTATGGAATAGAATGTACCCTGTGTGGACTCGTTTATATTGGTGAAACTAAAGGATCACTTAATGAAAGAATATCAGATCATCGATTTCAAATAAATCATGGGGGTCAGCAGCTTTTATACAAACATTTTGATTTACCTGACCATTCTATTTTGTCAATGAAAGTTAGAATTCTCGAAAAGATTTATCACCACACGAACAGTCCGTCAATGAGTACACCTTTCCGTAGACAACGAGAAGAATTTTGGATTAGAAAGCTAGGGACAGCCTTTCCCTATGGATGTAATGACAATGACGTAAGCGTACTCGTGGGCATCGGTCTTACAATAAACCTGTTATACACGATGTCTCTTTTGATTCATTACTACTTTATGTAAATCAACAGTTAGGTCTACATCATATTCGCACCAAACTTTACTCTGTCCCTTTAAAACTTTTAAATAGTCTTCTTGAAAAGGCCAAGGAAAGTCCAATTTTTGATTCCTCAGCACCAGAATATAGGCTCGGATCTGTGATTATGGATATTGCAAATCAAAGGCTTTTTAAACCTGCACGTTTTACTGAAGAAAATGCAGCTAATCCGTCTTTTCCTTAAATCTCAGTATGCCAATAAAGGAATTGAAGCGGTAAATATAAGTAATATTCTTAGTCACAAAAGGGTCCAGTCTTGTATTCCACCATATTTCAAGTTAAAGACTACACCTTGTATTTCCTATAAATATATATCGACCATTGCTTCCAAACTTCTCAATTACAGTAAAACTTTACATATGGCCTGGATTTTGAGTATCTGAAACATAATCCTCCATCGTGCTCATGTTCTTCTTCGCTCTATAACTATAGTCCTGCTGGACATGTTATTACAGGTGACGTAAATATACTTAATAACGAGGACCTTAGATCACATATTTTAAAAGGTCCTAAATATAGGGAACCTCGGTCCTTCAATTGGTGTCGGAATTTCATAAATATTATGGATTCTGTTGAAAATTACGCCAGACGATGGGCCAGATATGAAAAAGACGTTGACACCTTGTCAGAATGGATAAAATGTATCAGATCTATGCTGAAATCGCGAATTCAAAGATTGGGGGCAATATGAAAACCATCTATCCTTCTGTATTTTATAATCCAGAAGTGAAAAAAAGAATTTGATAGATTACGTGATCAGTACGTACTGGTCCCTGCTGACAAAGCAGGTAACAACATTTTCTTTGTTTGTAAGGCTCATTATATAAATTGTATTTTAGAAGATTTTGGATTTAATTCTTCAAGTGGTAATCCAACTTATACTCATAGTTCCCTTTCTAAGGAAGAAATTCTTCAAAATCATATGTCAGTTTTGAATATTTTTAATATCGCGAAGAACCAAAATGAATTTGAACTACCATATATATTGGATTCCGAAACTTCATAAAAATCCTCACAAAGAAAGATACATTGCGGGTTCCAGTAAATGTTCAACCAAGCCTTTTTCGTTACTCCTCAATAAAATATTGACTGTAGTGAAGGAAAAACTTCAAGAGTACTGTGCAACAATATATTCAAGAAGTGGTGTGAATCAGATGTGGATACTTAAAAATTCCAAAGAACTTTTGGACAATTTGAAATCAGAAGATTTTACCAAAATCAACAGCTTAAAAACTTACGACTTTTTAACTTTATACACCATTCCCCACGATAAATTGTAGTCCAGGCTTTTTGATATCATTGACAGCTGCTTTTTCAATAAAAATGGAACTCGTAATTTTACTTACCTCGTCATTGGTCATTTGCAAAATTATTTTGTTAAAACACATTCTGATTGCACACACAAGTACTCTGAAGTTGACATCAAAAAGATGCTTGAGTTTCTGATTGACAATATTTATGTGGTTTTTGGAGACCAGGTCTTCCAAAAATCTTTTGGAATTCGAATTGATACCAATTGCGCTCCGCTATTAGCAGACTTATTTTTGTATTCAGATGAAGCAGAATTTATGCAAAATTTCATGCATGAAAAGAAGAAAACACTTGCTGTGGCCTTCAACTCGACATTTAGATATATCGACGACGTATTGTCAATTAACAATGGTCATTTCCATTCCTACATCGATACGATATATCCTGGTGAGCTTGAGATAAAAGATACCACAGAGTCTGACACATCTGCTTCATAATTGGATAATTTACTTGAAAAAGACACTAATGGAAATCTAACAACCAAGCTCTATGATAAACATGATAACTTTTCTATCGTCAACTTCCCTTACCTATGCAGTAATATACCTTCATCACCTGCATACGGAGTTTACATATCTCAGTTGATTCAATACGCTAGAGCATGCTCTACGTATGAACAATTTCTAAAACGAGTTAATTTATTGACAAACAACTTGATGAAACAAGACTATCAGCAGTCTCGTTTAAAGTCATCATTTCGTAAGTTCTATGGTCGATACCATGACCTTGTCAGCAAATACAATTTATCATTGAGTCAAATGCTGGCTGATGTTTTTCATACTAATTGTTAATCCATTATTTATACAATGAATTGACGACGGATTTTTCCGTTATTCCCCGATCATGACAAGGAGCACACGGCGGGTGTGACTGGTCGGCAGGGGATGCTCACTCCTCCATGGCACATGATCCCATCTCTGCTGTTTTGGAGGTCCGTGTTTGCTCTGCTCCTATTTTGTATTGTTTTATGGACTTTGATATTGAGTACTGTTTGTTATCTCCATATCCTTCATTAAAACTAAAGTAAGCGCAAAAATTCGCCCTCGTGCTTTTAAAGTGAAATATTTTAATTTTCAAAATCAAAGAACCATTCATTTTTCTTTTTATTATTTTACACGTAGAACAAGTTACGGTTCATTCGCTTTTTCAATTAAAAGAGTCATAACATCCTATAAATAATCAAAATAGCACGGTCTCTGCCATACAAGTTTTTACTGTTTATCGGTGAAAAGTCGACAACTTTGAATAGCCCTACAAATGATATGCTACTATATATAGCCTGTCTGTAAAAAAAAAATTCATAACCACACACGGTAAAAAAATGTACTTGGCTCAAGTAATGGTTTGGGAGAAGGTTCTAACATTGAGACTCATTTCAACTTTAAACATACAATGAATTTAAAGAGATTTTGAATTTGGGTGTATGTATATGCACACCAGGTAAACCAACTTTTATTTTCCCCAGTGATAAATTTACCTAACGTTACTCAACAATTTCGGATTAAATATTAATAATCTTGTATATGATGGAAATGATGGCGGTTTAATTGTCCTCTTCTTCGTTTGATATTTAGTGGACCATTTATTAACAAGAGACTTTGTTTATCGATCTGACAGTTTCAATTAACTTTGATCTGAACAATACTTATTTTAGAAATAAATTTAGAGTTAGAGGAAGACAGACTACTTGTAAAGAGATCAAGGCAACAATACAATCGAATGAGCTAATCCCTATCTAAAGACAGCTGAAACAATGCGTATGGCTTTCGTTTCTTGTCTCAGAAGTCATGTGGAAAGGTATTTGTGTAGTCAGCATAGATCTTCCTTTTAAGGACAGCGGAAGCAAGGAGTATGGTTTCTGGACTAAGAAGTCATCTTCAAAAGATGATATGACAAACAAGGCTTTTTTTTTAAATACGACATACTTTATTTAACTAATATTTTAATAAAAATACATGTATAATAAATGAATATGCCAAAAGCATATAAAAAATTAATAAAACACAGCGAAATGAAAACGAATGTCTGGTTTGTGATTTTGAAAAAATCAAGGAATACATATAGCATTTTAAGCTTTGAACACATTATTGAACATCCATGTTTCATTGTTACAGCCTGGGTTATATACATAATATAATGTACAAAATACTGAGTATAATGGCGTAACAATTGGCATGGAAAGCATCAGCATTTGACTATAAATATGATCAAGTGTATTTTCTGACAAAATCATTGTATCGACCATACATAGAACTTACGAAATGATGACTTTTGAAGAGATTGTTGAATTCTTGTTTCATCAACTTCTGTGTGAATAAATTACCTCGCTTTAGAAATTTTTCATACGTTGGTCATGCTCTTGCGTACTAAGTATGGAACCGACTGAGAGATATAAAAACCGCATGGAGGTGATTAAGGTATATCGATGACGATTAAAAAAAATAAAATCAAAACGTTCATTATAAAGCTTGGTTGTTAAATTACCATTTACTTCTTTTTCAAGTAAAATATCCAGATATGACACAAATGTGTCAGACTCTGTCGTATCATTTATTTCAAGCTCACTGGGATATATCATATCGACACGAGATTGTCATAGAATTAATTATACATCAATCATAAGCCAATGGGTGGTCAATAATTAAAAACCTTGTAATTTTTTCCATGACGATGAAATGAATTATTTTTATTGCACAAAACAAATACATTTGTTATTTTATAACAATTATGCATGTGGAGTTTCTGATGTATTCGTATATGAACAAAGCAAATAAAAGAAACATTTTTTTGAAAATGTAAGCAATCCTAATTATTGGTTTGAGTAAAGAATGACAAGTACTATATGTACTACTATAAAGTGTTCATTAAAAACAAAACCTCGATGGAAAGAAATCGAAACTTTTTAATCATCTTTATTCTTATAAAAGATTCATTTTAGGAGAAAATGTCAAGTTATGGGTTTACGGGATTGAATGGTTCAAATGTTTAATGTCGTACAAATCAATGTTAATCCGTCGAGATACGTATATATATATATATATATATAGAAAAATAATCCAGAGTTTGGAAAAGATGATCACATTTTATTCCAAAGCGCTTTCGCCATTCGGCTCTTCAGTGGATTTTGAATAACAATAGCAACATGACATGATAACGTCGTTATTATATCATGTTGCTATTGTTATTCAAAATCCACTGAAGAGCCGAATGGCGAAAGCGCTTTGGAATAAAATGTGATCATCTTTTCCAAACTCTGGATTATTTTTCTATATGTACATACCTATACCAAGGACATCTTGAATATATATATATATATATATATATATATATATATATATATATATATATATATATATATATATATATATATATATATATATATATATATATATATATATATATATATATATATATATATATATATATATATATATATATATATATATATATATATATATATATATATATATATATATATATATATATATATATATATATATATATATATATATATATATATAAAGCACTAAAAAACCAACAACACTGTATATCCTAAATGTCGGATCTACCAAGTAGATACAAGGTCACGGATGGAAATTTATATAAAGCACTAAAAATGACCAACGACACGAACAATAAAAACAATTTTTATTGTTCGTGTCGTTGGTCATTTTTAGTGCTTTATATATATATATATATATATATATATATATATATATATATATATATATATATATATATATATATATATATATATATATATATATATATATATATATATTCAATGCCTTTTTATCCACTACAGATTTAGAACTTCTCTTTCCAAATAACAATCTATTGATTTATTTAAGAAAAAATAAATTCTAGAACTTTACTGGTATAACAATTTAAAACACAAACATAAAAACATCTACTATTTACTTTTTATTACTCTGATTTCTGAAGGTCTCCGGAGAATGTGGTACATTTACTTGCACTCCTCTGCAAAGATGTGTCATCACACACTCCGGACCAAGGTGTTTACCGATAGGTATGTATACCTTTACTGAAAGGCAAGTAGCATATTACTGATAGATCAGTAGCCCATTGCTGAAAAGTAAGTAGAAAGTTTACTAATAGGTAAGCAGCCTTTAACTGACAGGTATATAAGTGATAAGAAGTTAGCCCATTAAGGATAGTAAGTAACTTACATGTATTACTGATTGAAAAGTAACCTATATCTGATAGGTAAGTAGCCTGTTACTGATAGGCACGTAGCCTCTTACACGTAGTCTAGTATAAGTGGAAATTTTAGCGAGACGCAAATTTAGCGATTTGTCCCTAAAAAGCGGTATTCTATTTTTAGCGAAATGTAATTTTAGCGATTTCAAAATGCTCATTAAAGAAGCTATTACAAATAAAACGCAATTAATTTTTAGCGATATTAAATTTAAGTGATCTCAGCACCCTCGCTAATAATGCCAAAACTAAATCCTTGCTAAAAATTCTGCTAATACGGTAGTCTAATACTGATAGTTACGCAGCCTATTTATGAAAAGTACGTAATCTATTACTGAAAGTAATAAATATCTCTCACTGATGGGTTTTTACCTATTACTATGGGTATTTTAACGCATAATTAAAAGGTAAGTAGTCCATTACTGATAGTTAGTAGCATATAAATGATAGTTTTTAAAACAATTATCGATAGGTACGTAGCCTTTTATTGATAGGTACATTAAGTAACCTATTTCTGATAGGTGAGTAGCTAATCACTGATAGGTAAGAATATTATTAATGACAGCAATTAGCCTATTACTGATAAATAAGTAGTTTTTGTGATAGGTACAGTGAGTAGCTATTACTGACAGATAAGTGTCTTATTAATGATAGGTAAGAAGCAATAACTGATAGGTATACGTGAAAAAAAGAAAACACTTGCTGTGGCCTTCAACTCGACATATAGATATATCTACGACGAATTTCCATTCCTATGTCGACACGATATATCCTGGTGAGCTTGAAATAAAAGATACCAGAGTCTGACAAATCTGCTTCATATTTGGATATTTTACTTGAAAAGACGTTAATGGTAATCTAACAACAAAGCTCTATGATAAACGTGATGACTTTAACTTTTTTATCGTCAGCTTCCCTTACTTATGCAGCAATATACCTTCATCACCTTCATCTCAGTTGATTTGATACACAAGAGCATGCTCTATGCACTAACAATTTCTAAAACGAGGTAAATTATTGACAAACAAGTTGATGAAACAAGAATATCAGCAGTCTCATTTTAAGTCATCATTTCGTAAGATCTATGGTCGATACAATGACCCTATCAGCAAATACAATTTATCATTGAGTCAAATGCTGATCGACGTTTTTCATATTTATTGTTAGTCCATTATTTATACACTGAATTGACGACGGATTTTCCGTTATTTCCCGATCATGACAAGGAGCGCACGGCGGGTGTGACCGGTCGGCAGGGGATGCTCACTCCTCCATATGGCACTTGATCCCACCTCTGATGTTTTGGAGGTTTGTGTTTGCTCTGTTCCTATTTTGTAATGTTTTATGGACTTTGATCTTGAATACTCTTCGTTATTTCCATATGTGTCATGAAGACTATTGATGAAAGGTACGTAGATTATTAATTATTGCTAGGTTTACACTTTTATATTTCTTAATAATCACGGATATCATTAAGAAAGTAAGTTTTTTTTATCTTTAAGCATAAATTTGACAGGCTAATCAATATGTAGGCCTGTATTGTAAATCTGTAGATGTGTTAGATTTCTCTAGTTTAGAAATGTTAAACGCATATCAATGAATATGTATGTATAAACAACCTTCTTTAATGAAGTATGATTTGCATAAAATAACAACATAAGTGTTACATGTATATACAGGCTAATGCCGTCTGATATTAGAGTTGACTGTGTATTATGACATTTGACAATATTGATGTTTGTAGGTTGTGAAGTGCCTAAAATAAAAAATGCTATTTATAAGGGTGGCATCCTGCTGTCCCGAAATTCAATGGAATGTAAGGCTGGATACAAGAGCTTAAGTCAGGTGTATTGTGAAGACCGAGGATTGGATAAGAATATCACTGCAGAGTTTAAATGCTGTGAGTTGTTTCCAGAAAAGTGACAATAAACAAAAAAAAACAATTTAAAGCAGTAAAACATAGGAAAAAATAAATATGATTTTCCTAAAGGTGGTCAGTTAATGGAGATCCCTTACCTTTTACGTCGTCAAAAATAATTACTGACCCTTTACCAGTATGAAAATAAGAAATCATAAAAATGATTTGCGAAACAAAAGATAACTTAATACCATTCTTTTCAAATTGTTTGACGTACTCTAGATAAGGAATCCTTGGGCTGGATACTGGTCTACCGAAGTCAGACTGGATTGAACACATCGGATTATTTCTCGTTTCTCTCTAACGGTACAGGCGATGAAACTAACGAGAATTTTGACGACGATCAATGTGCCACTACAATAAAGTCTCCAGTGTGTATTTCAGACTATAGAACATCACTTATTGACCAATGGGACTCGCTGAATATTTCACAAGTATGTTGCTAAATATCTGTCTTACATTTTAAGCTTTATACATTTTCATGATTGCAATCATATAAACATGATAAATGACATCAAGAGATATTTTGATTCTATTCATTAACGAATCAGCTAGATTCCTTTTTTTTTTTTACAACAAATTGTGAATCGTCTGAGTCTAATGTCTCTCATCAAATTAATAACTTTTAATCAAAATAGTTTGTTCATTAGGTATTATGTATTTCAATATAAACCCTAAGGAAATCATTGAAGACAGTATATACATGTACAATGAGCACTTGTCATAAAACAAGAATAATGAGTTTCATTGAAGCAGAACTTATGAGAATTCAGTTTAATGCAATTAATGTCGGCCTAATTATAATTGACAAATAGATTGCCTATTGATTCCGTCAATCCTTAATTGGACCACACCTGTAAAAGGTAATATTCATTACGGAAAATAATATCTCATCATTTGTGTTTTAAATATTTACTCAGTGAAGTGTTTCGGGAAAAAATGTTTGGAAATTTGGAAAAATTCAATAAGAAAAAAATCAATGTCTTTATGCTATTTTTTCTATTTTGTTAATAACTAACATATTTATTTGTTTGCCAATACTCTTTAATGTCAAACAAGTATCCTCCCCCCTCTGTGAACCACAAGTAAATCTTTTTAGTAAGACATTTGAATCAAAATGCTTAACAAATGTATGGAAGCAAGCTAATATTGTCTCAGTTTTAAAGGGTAAAGGTGCTTATAATTTTACGTGTAAATTACTATAGGTCAATTTTAGGAGGAAAAGGACAATTAACTAAAACGGAAACATGGGAAACACCTGCCGACATAGGTTTAAAATTTAAATAGAACCCATTTAAATTGTACAGATATTTAAAAATAATTTGCCTATAATCTTGCAAACAGTACCAGTTAGTAAAATTGACTTATAGTAATTAACTTTAAGTAAGGACTGCATGTACCGTTACCCTTTAAAACTGAGGTAATGTTAGCTTGCTTCCATACATTTTGTAAGCATTTTGATTCAAATGTCTTACTAAAAATATTTACTAGTGGTTCATAGATGGTGGAGAATACCTGGTACTTGTTTTAGGATTATTACTTTGATGAAAAAAAATTAGATTCAAATGACTGGAAAAAAAATTATATGTAAATGCTTGTTATCGGCTAAGAACGTACAGGTAAACTTCGGTATCTCGACATCGGATATGTCGACAACCTGGGATATGTCGACGTCCGTCCGCGGTCCCGGCATTATTCACTATATCAATGATTTGCAAAAACTCTGATATGTCGACCTCGGTAATGTCTATTACCCTGCTTATCTCGACGTATTTCACAGTCCCAATAGCAAAATTTACCTGGTTTATTTCGACATCGGGGCAATTTTCTGCTCTGCTTAAACTAATTGTTTGTCAGCTGGTCGCTCGTCACGCACGGACGACTTCGGCGTCTCTAATACGTTAATTGTTTAATATTCAGCTTGGGTAATATCATTGATAAATCATCACGATTCTGCGTAAATGTACAACCGTTTATTTATGTCGAATTCTAACAAAACCTAAATATTTATTGAAAAAAAAGCCACTGAAGTCACTGAATAACAATGACCAATACACACATTGAATTCAATTAAACTTAAAAATTGTAAAATGCATTCAACAGGAAGCAATCAAAACAACGACATGCACGACTTGCAACAGCCGTAATATGGTAACATCATGAAATTGATTAAATGTGCAATTCCAACTAAATTTGGGCTTGAAAATAAAATGAAAATTAATTATGAATGATTATGAAATGAAAAAGAAGTGAAATGAAATGATTTTAAAAATTTACGCATTAATTTTTGATCGGTATCTTGGAAGTCGACTTTGTGCCGTTCCGGTTTGGAGTTTATAGAGCGCATTTCGTATCAAACTTAAAAATTGTAAAATGCATTCAACAGGAAGCAATCAAAACAACGACATGCACGACTTGCAACAGCCGTAATATGGTAACATCATGAAATTGGTTAAATGTGCAATTCCAACTAAATTTGGGCTTGAAAATAAAATGAAAATTAATTATGAATGATTATGAATTGAAAAAGAAGTGAAATGAAATGATTTAAAAAATTTACGCATTAATTTTTGATCGGTATCTCGGAAGTCGACTTTGTACCGTTCCGGTTTGGAGTTTATAGAGCGCATTTCGTATCCTGTTCTGACAGAGCTAGTGGCACGCGGATCGAATGCTGAATGGAAAACGGTTTTTAGTAAAAATGAGAAGGTTTCGATAAAAAAGAAAGCATTTCATAAACAACATTTGGAATATATATTAACTTCTTAGATTTTCTAATAAATATAAAGGGATAGCTGAAACAAACGAGCTACAGTATAATTGAAGACGTGTAGGTAGTAACACGTCTGTTCAGTTTAAATCTATGGTTTTACTAAGCAGTAAAATTAAGGACGTCGATTCTCAACTCTGATATCTCGACACCTCGGATATCTCGACATTTTCCGACTGTTCCGTCGATGTCGAGATAACGAAGTTTACCTGTAGTAACATTTGCTAGAAAAGAGTGCATTAATAATAGTCTGTTTAAATAGCTTTTATTTGACCCATTTTAGAATACGATAGCATTGTCAGGGATAATGATGCACAATAACTTTCAAATCCTTTAGAAAATATTCATGTGAAAGCTGCCAGGCCGTAGGAAAAACTCATTCAGAGATGCTTTGTATTTAGAATTAGTTTGGGAACCATTTTATAAGAGAAGGGAAAGACAAAAACTCTTGTTATTTTATGTAATTGTGTATGGCATAACCCCTCTCTATTTGCAAGAAATTGTTCTTTCTTTGATGCCAACAAATCATAGTTATTATCTTAGAAAATTGGTAATTCTAATTTTGTCATACCTGAAGCATGGGTATCTTATATTTCAACAGTTTCCCGCCTTCTACTATTCAGTTGTAGAACAATTTACCATTAGAAACAAAATGTATTGAATCGTATTCAAGTTTTACGAGTACGAGGGCTGTTCGAAAAGTTCGTGGACGATGTCCATCTTCGTTATATTACCCAAGGGAAATTTAAAACAAGCACATTATAATATGTAAAAATATTTGTTTTGTTGATCTGTGGAGTTTTATTCCATTCGATTTAACACAAATAAATTTACTTCATTTTAAAATCAACATGTTTTGTACCCGCGGAGCACACAAAACGACAATGTAACGTCAATACATAGCGTCGAGAATTTATAACAGATACTATACTTATACATTTCATACAAAGTATTCCAATGCCCATTCATTAAATTCTTTTTCTAATACTTGACATTTATCTTTTAAATATTTATCTCATTGTATAATTTTCTTTGTTAAGGTTTTAATTTCTTTCAGTGCTTATCTCTGCTTTCACAGGATAAGCAACTCTGAAGCGCGTTTGTCTTTCATTTACGTATCATATTTTAAAGTTTTGTTCAGATGTTTACATAAAAAACGTTTTCTTCACAGGCCATCCTCATCCGATACAGAGTCTTTGTCACTCAAATATTGCCTGTACTATTTGTAAACACATGAACAACTCGCTTGTGACATAATTTATTGATTCCTTCAACATTTTTAGAGTTTATTCAGGATTTTTCCTGAGAAAAACACAAAATTGCTTCGGTATCTGCTGCTCCGTGACGTTATAAAACGTCTCGTTCTGGTCGTTTTCAATAAGGACTAATTATCTTCTCAAGTTGATTTCTTTTCAACAAAGCAAAATATGAAACCATAATTTGGTAATAGTATCGATGTAACAATTCTTAATCTGAATTTCTAGGTAGTTATTCGTTTTTCCTCTATTTTACAGAGAATATGACTATAGGCATTATTCATTGTTTTGTCTGTAACTGACTAAATTTTGACCTGCTCCACGATCCGATTTTTGCATTTTTACAATCTGGATAAATTTTTAATCAATAGTAATATTTTGTCAAAATTAATACATATCATTTGGATTTATTGCTAAAATATTTCTACCAAATTTGGATAACATATGACGTGAAATAAAAAAGATATGACAGTTGTCCACGAACTTTTCGAACAACCCTCGTATATCCTAAAGAAACCGCCTGGAGATAGAATAACGGACGTCAAGATCTTTAATTATGGTAATCGCAAGGAAAGCAATATATTAATATTGCATGTAGTTGAGTGTAACATTGAAAATTTTCAATTTTTTAAAATTATATTATACTGAATGTTTTATACAAAAATATCTGAACGACAATGATTTTTTTTTCCTTAGAATGCCCTGTCTATACTAATCAGAGAATAAAATAAGGAAATTGACGACGAATTTTTCCGTTATTTCCCGATCATGACAAGGAGCACACGGCGGGTGTGACAGGTCGGCAGGGGATGCTCACTCCTCCATGACACCTGATCCCACCTCCGATGTTTTGGAGGTTCCTGTTTGCTCTGCTCCTGTTTTTGTATTGCTTTATGGACTTTTGATCTTGAATACTATTCGTAATCTCCATATGTTTCACGATAGAAAACCCAAGCCATCCTCTGTGTTATAAGATTTTGTTGTAAGGTTGACATTTATGTCTTTTCTAGTAAAATGTCCAAAATGAAACAGATCGACTTTGTGGTGTCTTTTATTTGAATTCAAAAGGATATTTTTCCAATCAATGTAAAAATGAAAATAAATATTACAATATAATGTATTAGTTATTGATGCTCTTACATGTAATTTAAATGAAAGATGTGAAAATAACAAACAGTGATTAATCTAAAACAAAATCTACATGCAATAAAAATATGTGAACAGAGCATAAAAAACACGAACCCCTGGAAATTCGAGTTGTGTGATCAGATGCCCGGCATCCGCTGTAGACCAAGGTCACGTTCGTAATCAAGGAATTGCTAAAAAGGATTTCCATTTAATTATTTTTTGTGCAGTGAAACTCAACTTGAATTTACATAATTAAAAAAAGACCCTTAGTGATTTTGATCATAAAAAGATTCCTACTGATTTTTGATGTGTGTAATGGTTAGTGGCCAAGGTCATAAATATGTATACTGTCACGAACTGAATACTACTTCAAATTCATGTCTGTCTTTAAAGAATTCTTAAACCCCCCCCCCCCCCCCCAATGACAAGCATGACTAGCTAATTGTGGTTGCTACTAAACTGAAAATTTACCGTAGGCTCAAACACAGAAATGACAATTGAAAATAAATACAACAACTGAAATTTGATATGTTAAAAACATATTTTCTTATTTTTTTTTCGAAATGAATTTATCATAAAATAAGACATAACTGAAAATTCTATATCTTTTTCAAAGGTACGAGTCCAGTTGCACAAAAGTAGTACGACGGTTGCTGAAGTGGTTTTCAACGGGGCAAATACAACAAATATAAACTGGTTCTCTCCCGACCGAATCCTGTCAAGTTCTTGGTCTGATGTTACCCCAAACCAAACGTACAACTATTTCTCTATAGAAGGACACAGGAATGAGTTAGTATAGTCATAAACTACGTAAACTAAATGATGTCTATTGTGTTAGGATAAAAATTCATATTTTGTAAACAAAAAGTGCCGATTAAGTTAATATAACTGTTATAATAAAGGTTTTATTAAATGTAAAGTTTAAACTTATCTATAACTAACATGGTTGTCGAATAACATTGGTAATTTCCATTCCTAATATATCCTGGTGAGCTTGAGATAAAAGATATCACAGAGTCTGACACATCTCTTTCATACTTGGATATTTTACTTGAAAAAGACGTTAATGGCAATCTAACAACCTAGATCTATAATAAACGTGATGACTTTAACTTTTCTATCGTCAACTTCCCTTACTTATGCAGCAATATATACCTTCATCACCTGCATACGGAGTTTATATGTCTCAGTTGATTCGATACGCAAGAGCATGCTCTACGTATGAACAATTTCTAAAACGAGGTAAATTATTGACAAATAATTTGATGAGACAACAATATCAGCAGTCTCGTTTAAATTCATCTTTTCTTAAGTTGGTCGATACAATGACCTTGTCAGCAAATACAATTTATCATCGAGTCAAATGCTGACTGACGTTTTTCATACCAATTGTTAGTCCATTATTTATACACTGAATTGACGACGGATTTTTTCCATTATTTCACGATTATGACAAGAAGCACACGGCGGGTGTGACCGGTCGGCAGGGGATGCTCACTCCTCCATCGCACCTGATCCCACCTCTGATGTTTTAGAGGTCCATGTTTCCTCTGCTCCTGTTTTGTATTGTTTTATGGACTTTGATATTTAATAATGTTCATTATTTCCATATCCTTCATTTAAACTTTTAATATAACATATAACTATATACAAAGTAAAGATAATGATGTCTTTAATTTGACTAATTCGCATTGCATTTCCTCGTCGAAAATTAAAATTTCTTGAAGGAGAAAGTAGTTATTAAGGGATATTTCAATCCGTTTTTGTAATTAGTTAAGAAAAATAACAATAAAACAATGTGTTTACATGTATAATAAGTAATAATAATTATTATACATACAATATAATAATTTTTTTAGGAAAAATACAAAATAAACAATATGTTTTGATAATTATAACCTTAATAACTTTATTTTAACTTATGTAATGTTTTTGTTTATGTATGTAAATATGCTACAGATGTTAATAAAATAGGAATACTATTTTTGTTTATTTGATAAGCCCTAACCATGGTACCTGATTAGCACCCTTATCTTGGAAGTCTAATTAGTGTCCTAATTATGGTGCTTATCAGATGCCCTAAATGTATCAAGTGTCTTGACACCTAACAATGGTGCAGAGGCCCTAATACTTGGAGCCGATTGCCCTAACAGGGTGCCCTAATGATGGAGCCTAACGCCCTAACAGGTGCCCTAACGATGGAGCCTAATGCCCTAACTAGGTGCCCTAAATCACGTTAGGTGTCAGACAGGGTATATAAGGAGAGAGAGTTAGTGAGTTGATATACTTTGCTTGTACTGGATTGTAAACTACGTTTGGATATTATTAATACACTTGTTGAAACAAACTTTGTCGTTGTTCTGATGTTAGATCTATAAAGATCTAAAGTTCCTATATTATACACGGGATCCACAATATTTTGTGACGCGGGTAGAAACAAACACCCCATAGAGAGAAAAACGTCACACTTATAATATTCTATAAATCGGCCAAATTATTTGGGCCCCATGCCCCCCGCCCCCTTTCTTCTGTCATTGTTAATTGTCTTGTTATTGAATTTGACAATAAAACTTTCTGATCAGGTTAAAAGTTCATTGACCATCTACACTGTATGTCTTTTTTATTACAGCGACTATTGGAGAAATTTCCAGATATGGCGTAATTATGGCGGCTGTCCTAATGACGTATTTTGGATGGCGTCCTCGTTCTCTATTCCAGGAATCGGCGGCTGTCCGCAGGAACAGACCAGCACAAAACAATATTTCTATTGTCCAAGCACAACACAATGTAGTTTTGAAAATAGTACGTATGTAATATATAATCCCCTTCCTCTAAGGTTTCGATATCAAATGTTGTAATTTCAAGTGCATGTTCATTTATAAATTTCCATTCTAAATTTTGGATTCTTTACGAGAACATTACTACTTGTGAAGCTTATTTTTTAAGATTTCAAATTGTTTCATCATTTTAACTACTTATTTTTCAGACAGGGACATCGCTGACGTCATGACAATATCCATCAAGATATCTAATGGAGCCTGAGAGGGTTAAGATGAACAATGTATTATAGACTTTGACTGTAGAGTTCTGTTTTACCACAATTTTATTGAAATAAATTACATTTATATTAAAAGGTTTGACTTTTCAACACTTTATAAAGTTACGCACGGTGTTAGTAATGTAACACCAAAATGTTATGTGCCATATAGTAATTAAATGGCGTTTTCAACATACGTTCTTAGGTGGAAATTTATAATGAAATTAAATATACTATCTACAGCGACAAATTATTTTTTTAAATCTCTGACTTACTGCCTAAAATTTTTCAAAAATATATTTTTTTGATCAGTTACGCCATATATGGCTTTAAGTAATTAGAAATGCTCATTAAATATCTCTAAATTCACAAAGTATTTACCCACAGTATTTCTTCAATGTTAATCATTAAAATCAATGACATTATATAAAGAAAATAATCCATCTACATTGTCAATACATATGGTGAGACTGGTCGACGGGGGATGGTTACTTCTCATGGACTTTCCTCTGCAATTTCCCGGGGTCCGTATTTTGCGCCTTGTTCACAGATTTGTGATCATACCACATGTATTTTAGTTTAATTTCCAAAATTTCATATGAAAAGGGTGATGACAATGAACATTCATCGATCTCAAAAAAATACGTAAATAACACAAATCTGCTCAAAGAAAGCGTAAAACTACTCTCGAGGTGGGACTGAGTTTATCAGGGTTCCTAATCTTCACTTTTGTTCAATATATTCACACTTTTTCATTCTATTAAAAATACTTAACATTGATCCTAACATTTAGCCATCGAGACAAATAGCTATTCAAGAATAAATACATGTGCACTGTACATGTATAGTAACTATATATCAGGAGATTTGCATCACCAGGTCTCAGGATCATGAAACAGACTAGCTTAGACTTAAGTCAAATTTTTAATCGCCTGTAAAAAGTTTTATTTATTATTGAACATATCTCTAATTTTGCAGATAACTATGGAATGCCATATACGACAGCCAACTGCTGAATGCTTACTGCCAACTGCCACACATATTTGAATAAATTTTATTTTTATATTGATATTTATGTGAATTTAAAAAAAAAAAAAAAAAAAAAAAAAAAAAAAAAAAAAAAAAAAAAAAAAAAAAAGGCGCGGATCTAGAACATTTTTCCAAGAGGAAATTTATTTCGGTCGGGGAGAGGGGGGGTTCTCATGCGTCATACCTTCATGTCTATGACATTTTTTATACCAACTTAACACCAATCCGCGTTTTCGGGTGGAGGGGGGGTTTCTAAGGTCCCTTTTGATTTATTTTATACATTGAATAACTTTTAGTTGGTTTAGTTTGTGCATTAAATAACTTTACAAATTTCAGAGGGTGATCCGGACCTCTCTCTCTAGATGTGTGCATGTAAAACATAGCTTATTTGTAAAAACAAAGAGATATAAATGTTTGATCGGCGTTTTCTACGTCGAGGGTCTAAGGTCAATTTTAGTTTGTTTAGTTTATACATTAACCCATGACTGTACAAATTTTAACCCCACCCCCAAGATTTTTGCATGTGAAACATTATAACACACAGAGATATACATCTTTAATTTGAGGAAAGTTTTAACTATAGAATATAATGGAAAATATAAATTTATTTTCAAAACATCTTTATCTGCGAAACGACAAATCTTTTTTTTATTTTATTTTCTCTCTTCAAAGGTTTTGTTGGGGGGGGGGGGGGGGGGGGGCTACTTCTTTAAAGATTAAAAGCAGAAAATAGTCATTTTATTACCTATTTCAAATAAGAAAATAAATATAAAAATAAACAATATACTTTATCAATGGCATATATTGAATATTACATAAATTAAAAAATAATGGTCATTTAGTCAATTCAATTTTGACCTCTTGGAAAAAATGTCCTGGCACCGCACCTGTTTTTTTTTTTCTTTTTTTTTTTTTTTCTTTTTTTTTTTTTTTTTTTATTTTTTGCATTTAAAAAGTAACATTATATGGAATGCCATATACGATGCAGTTGGCAGTAAGCAGTTGGCTGTCGTATATGGCATTCCGTAGATGCACGTGTTTTATATCATGCAGATATGGAATGCCATATACGACAGCCAACTGCTTACTGCCAATTGCTGACTGCTTACTGTCAACTGTCAGCTGCTTACTGCCAACTGCCACACATATTTGAATAAATTTTATTTTCATATTGATATTTATGTAAATTAAAAAAAAAAAGGCGCGGATCTATAGGACATTTTTTCCAAGGGGGTCACTCTGTTAAAAAAAAAATCTAACCCAGAAATTTCTTGACAAGAAAAAAAGTACGTAAAGTCCTTTCCCAAATGTGAAAATTTATTTCGGCCCTGGAAAGGGGGTTCTTATGCGTCATACCTTCATGTGTATGACATTTTTCATACCAACTTAACACGAATCCACATTTTCGGTTGAGAGAGAGGGGGGGGGTCTAAGGTCCCTTTTAGTTGATTTATTTTATACATAAAATAACTTTTAGTTGGTTTAGTTTGTGCATTAAATGACTTTACAAATTTCAGAGGGGTGTTCCGGACCCTCTCTCTAGATCTATGCATGTAAAACATATTTTATTTGTACAAACAAAGAGATATAAATGTTTGATCGGCGTTTTCTAAGTGGAGGGTCCAAGGTCAGTTATACCGGTAGTTCGTTTAGTTTATTTAACGTATGACTGTACAAATTTTAAATGCCCCCCCCCCCCCCAGATCTATGCATGTGAAACTTTTTTTCCCCAACATTACCTTTACTATTGAAAATGTATATTGAAAGGATGGTTGCCCCCCACCACTTCTTACCATAGTATAATGATATTAAGGATATGTAGTATTGTGTGGGAAAAAAAATGTAAGTGAAAGGTAGTTGGCCTTAAAAAAAGTTAGCCCCCCCCCCCCCACACACACACACACACACACGAAATAGGATTTTCGAGTTTGGGCTATTTCCTTTTTTTATTTTGCTTGACAACTTTTTCAGGTAAGCAAAAAAAAATTTCCCTGGTTGCCCCCCCCCCCCCAACTTTCAAAAACGATGCTACGTGCCTGCATTATAACACACAGAGACATACATCTTTAATTTGAGGAAATTTTTAACTATAGAATATAATGGAAAACGGAAATTTATTTTCAAAACATCTTTCTCTGCGAAACGACAAATCTTTTTTATTATTATTCTCTCTTTGAAGGTTTTGTTGTCTCCGGGGGAGGGGGGGAGGGGGGCTTCTTTAAAGATTAAAAGCAGAAAATAGTCATTTTATTACCTATTTTAAATAGGAATATAAATAAAAAAAAAATAAACAATGTACTTTATCAACCGCATATATTGAATATTACATAAGATAAAACATACTGTTCATTTTATTCAATTTAGTTTTACCAGGGTGACCCCCTCGGAAAAAATGTCCTGGATCCGTGCCTTTTTCCCCCTTTTTTGTGAAAATTCATATAAATATCAATACAAATATAAAATTTATTCAAATATGTGTGGCAGTTGGCAGTAAGCAGCTGACAGTTGGCAGTAAGCAGTCAGCAGTTGGCAGTAAGCAGTTGGCTGTCGTATATGGCATTCCATACGCAGAAACTCTTGAAAATTATTAAGGTCTTCCGTTTCCAACGGAAGACCTTCTACTGATTCTGAAGATTAAGATTATTCTTATTATTCTTTTTTTTTTTTTCTTCCTAGACGCCAACTTTGAGGCCTCGTATCTCGCTCATTTTTTAATGGATTTTGTTCAAATTTTCAGACATTATAGACGGTAATAAACTCTATCAGAATGTTGTCAATAATTTCAAAAAGTCACTTCCGGTTTTGAGTTATTTCCCTTTAAACGAAAAATTATAGGCTTTCATTTCCAGACAAAGGCTCAGAGACCACTAGAACTGGAGCAGAAATTTTACTGGTTTTTGATAACAGAAGGATTGAAGTTGTGCACATCGGTTTTTGTTTTTCGATTTCTCTATTCAAAATGGTGATATACAAGGGTCAAAAAATAGAACGCCTAAAAGAGCGAAAATTTACACATGTTTTCCTTTTTATCTTGAAAACTAAAAATATTTTGTTAAGACATGTTGAACAAAAGTTGTGCATAATTGCAAGGGCTTTCATGTAATACTAAAGAAAAGGGGCTGGCCCCTAAAATAAGGGATCTCTGGAGCTTGAAAGTTTTTGCTTTATAACTCAAAAACGGTAAATATTTCGATCTAGATATATCGAGCAAAATTGTTCTTTAACATCCTTTTGATCTGATAGGAATGTTTATTTGTTCGAATATACCGGGGTTATTGCATAATATGCAGTCGAAAGCAGGTCAGGTAAACATGTAGCGTTTTTATTCGGCAAGTAAATATGACCTCATCATGTGTATAACTTGCTGTAAATAATATACCCTACGGTATTTTATGTTGATTTTCTTCAAAATCAGGTTTTAAACGTGTTTTATGATTAACTATTAAATCATGTATTACAACTACTTTTTCTATTTTTCTTTATAAAATTTAATTAGTTTTATAGTGAACACGTCTTTAAAAGCGGAAGATATAAAATCTACCTTTCTACGTTTATCATTGTAACAAACTATATAATTAATCTTAAACTTTATACATTGAATAATTCACGATCATTAGTTGTATACATATTACTATCCCATTGTTCAGCGAGATGTTTTACAGTTATGTAATCAAAGCCGCAAATCCCACGCTGTCGATCTACATGTAGGTCACGAGTGTACCAGGCACCTGTGGACATAAACAAAGCAAGTGTTTGTGATTGTATTACACCATTGTGTAGAAAGACCTAACAATTAATAGAAAACTGTGTTTTTAATTACATCGCGTTTCAATAAGATTATTTTACCCATCTTTCATATTTAATCGTAATTCCAAACACTGGTGCATAAAATCATTTTGAACTGTGTTCGCTTTCTTTGGCCTGTTCTCGCAAAATAAACAAGCAAGTGTTTGTGATTGTATTAGACCATTGTGTA